TTTTTTTTTTTTTTTTTTAATACTTTCAGCACAAAATTTTTGCGAATCGTTGCATTCAAAACATCTGGAAAATTTTTATTTTTTTTTTTGGGGGGGGGGCATATGATACTATTTTCAGTCCTGTGAGGGCCAGGCCCCCCTGGACTCCCCCTTCGTTTGTCTATGGCAAGGGAGTTGAGTCATGAGCGATTGAAGTCGAGGGTGCCCAGACTGCGGGTCGATTGTTGAATCGTTATCGAATGACCTTGATCGATATATAGCATTGTGAAAATAGGGAGTTATCGATCAGAATCATTCGATAACGATTCAACAATCGACCTGCAGGAGACTCTTAGCATCTGACGACGGAAGAAAATGAAACGCTGTTACTAAAAATATCCTTCTGTACTGAAAATCTTTAAAATAGATAGAAATTTTCCAAGAAGTATACTTCTTTCAAAATTTAAGAAGAATTCTACAATGCTCCAGCGTGTTTCTGAAAATCTATTCACCTTTTGCGAAATTTTTAGGGTAAATTTTTCACTTTTTCTTACGAAACAAGGGTTGCATGTGAATTCGTAGTGGTTTTGTATCCCCCCCCCCCTTGTGGCGGGCCTGCATGGAATTAAGTCTCCGTCATTTTAACAATACAACCAATTCGGTGCCTTTGAAACTAGCGTAGCGTGCGCTATCGAGTGTATCTAGTGTGGCCTAACGCAAATATTGAAGGCGTTTTGAGAACATTCCTCATTTGCTCACGTTCAACTCACCCACATGGGTTTAACATAACAACGCAGCGTGCCAGGTCTGGTCTCTCGTTGTTTTCAACAAGGAAAAACATCGTTCCTTCGAGACATCGTTTGTCAAGCAAGATTTTGAAGCGATATTATAGTGTTTGACAGGCATTCCTTTATTTCCTCTCCCCCGCAGATTTGTTTTTGGTTTCGTGAAAGCATGAAGCAAGTTATCTTAATGGTTTTTTAATAATTAACTTTTCTTGCTCTGTGGTAGATGTGTCACTTATCCGGAAAAAATAAAGTCGAACTTTAAGTAAATTATCTACATATTTTTAAAATAAATTAAGCGATTACTCTGTGCCACCAGTGAGATTTGAAGACCTACCAGGCCGATTTGCATGAATCTTTCTCTCGAGTGTAGCGATGCATCTGAGGACTTGTCAAATTAGATCGGATTCGAACCTTTGAAATTCCTCGATTTAAGAAAAAAAATAGAAAAGGCTACGTCAACGTAGAAAAGGCGCTGCACCACTGCAGTCCAGTTTTCTTTGACTGCTTTTCACAGCCATTTACACCCCCGTTGAAGTTGAAATTGAAATGTTTTAGCGGCCCGATTATTGAAAATATGTCGGCCCGACACGACAAGACATAGCCCTATCTTAACCATGTAATATATCGCGATTTGGTGTCTTATCGGGCTGCTTGAAACTTTCAATAGTCGGCCAATAAGTCGCCTCCCAATATTTTTAAGGCCTGATATGAAATCCTCTTGCGGCTTCAAAAAATGGTTCACATTTTTGACCGATCCTATTTTCCAGAGAGAGATTCCTCAGGTTATACACAATTTTAGTGAATATGTTCAATGTGAGGGTTGTTTGAAAGCAAAAATATCTAAATAAAACCAACTGATCTAAATGCTTACTTGATTTTCATCCACGCCGTACCTAGGATACCCGAAACCATGCAAGAACTTTAGGCTTCCTTTAAATACTTCATTATTGATTCGTTTTATTATGAACTCAGTCCACTGGTGCTCCGATTCAATGAAATTGTAGCAATCAATGATGTAAGTTATATTTTTGACGCGCTTGGATCCTACCGGAACAGTTTAATTACATTTCTAACTGGACGTTTTTCTAACTCTTCAGTTTAAAAAAAATACAATAATGTTAAGATGTGCCCTCGAATTTTTCTTGAATTCACCATGAGATGACTTCGCAGCACTCATCGTTTTTAGATTAGAAAAGGTAGTGGTCGCCGCCTAAATTTCAGGAAGTTCACGTTGTATACAATCAAAGCATTATTCGGAAATTAACAAAGTCGCGATAAAAACCAGTAATAGTTTACTTCATCGGCACAATTGATAACGCTGGATTCCGTCATAATTAAACAATCAAAGCCCCTTTGTCAAATGCGAAGATCACCATAAAACTTTTATTTTAACTCCTGGATGCAACAATTCGGGATCTATGGACGTCCGCGTTGCATACGCACGAGAGTGAAGGCGTTTTGACTGTCCAATCACTTGTCCCCTCAACCGTAGCAACAACGGCGAGCTTTATTGCGAGGATCCAAAATGTCATAGCGCTTTCAATTCTTCGTTTGAACTACAACAAAGATATCTCACAGGCACATGCAACTTTTGTGATGTGTCTCTTGTGATTCAGNATGTTAAGATGTGCCCTCGAATTTTTCTTGAATTCACCATGAGATGACTTCGCAGCACTCATCGTTTTTAGATTAGAAAAGGTAGTGGTCGCCGCCTAAATTTCAGGAAGTTCACGTTGTATATTTAAACAATCAAAGCATTATTCGGAAATTAACAAAGTCGCGATAAAAACCAGTAATAGTTTACTTCATCGGCACAATTGATAACGCTGGATTCCGTCATAATTAAACAATCAAAGCCCCTTTGTCAAATGCGAAGATCACCATACAACTTTTATTTTAACTCCTGGATGCAACAATTCGGGATCTATGGACGTCCGCGTTGCATACGCACGAGAGTGAAGGCGTTTTGACTGTCCAATCACTTGTCCCCTCAACCGTAGCAACAACGGCGAGCTTTATTGCGAGGATCCAAAATGTCAGAGCGCTTTCAATTCTTCGTTTGAACTACAACAAAGATATCTCACAGGCACATGCAACTTTTGTGATGTGTCTCTTGTGATTCAGTTTTGATACCATGATGTGTTAAGTATGTGATTTGTAGCGGAACTATTCATGTCTAAAGAGATGTCTCCGAAGTATAATTGAAGAATTGAAGGGACTCTGTCATTTTAGATCCCCACAGCCCGTCCCATGATAAAACGAACCCTTTAGATAGAAAGAACATGAATTCTTGACTAAAACCGCAAATTTTAATGTGAATTTCTCACATTATAAATTGTATGAGGTGCTTCTTTCAGTAAATTGTACGTGAAAATCAAGGAAACCTAAAACCTCTACGTGTCCGTATTGATATCGATGTGAGCTTTTAATGTTATCACATTTTGTCCCTTCCCTCCCATTGACTCGCTTCTCTGCGTCCCCTGGTCTGCCGGTTAGTGTCTACAGTCAAAACGCCTTCACTCCTGTGTGTATGCAACACGGACATCGTCGAAGTTCGAATAGTTGCATCCAGGCGTTATAATGAGATCTGTTTCATATCCGTCGCATGCGACACTAACTGCAGCTTTGACTGTTTCTGCTACCAAAGAATACTGCCGCCACTTCTCTGAATTTTGCCAATTTTTTGGTTGAGAACGATTCTTTGGGCTCATGTACAAAGGCTACCGTTCTTTTTTATTGCTGAAAAGTCAAAATCTGCCGAAATTTGTTTACCTACTTCGCCAATGTGTTACATCCCACACCTTTTCGACCAAGTCGAATCACCCTAATGTCAAGTCGTTACTGTAGAGTGCGTAGACGAATCAGCCCCCCCCCTCCTCCCCGGATAATTTCAATAATTCAGTTTAGCCCTGATCCTTTTCGCCATAGTGATGATCTTACGGCCTATCCCTCCACATCAATCGGTAATTTTTCCGGATCATACGGCGATACTGTATGAACGCGCCTATCCTCATTTTGTCTGATTTAGAAGAAGAAGAAAATATAGGCAAGCTGCAAGCACGTGGCGGGGACGCAAGCATGCTCGCCAGGTACCAACAATCAGCGCGAATTCCAGAGAATGAACCACCATCGTTCTTTATGAGTCATCAGTCAAGTAAGTTGTGAAAAAAAACATAGAAAACGCTCGTTGAGAAGGGGAGGGGGAAGCCAGGGCACTTATGCATGATAGAGTGGGATAGGAAGCGTCGCGACGCCGACGCGCGAGGGGGGAGCGGGGGGCCCGCGACCCGTGAGTTAGTTTAACTTAAACCGAGGCAAGCTCCGAGCGCGAGCGATGACGAATGAAGCCGAGAGAATAGAGCTGAAACGCGGCGCGGCGCTANGGGGGGGGGGGGGGGGGGGGTTGTAGTGATAAGGAATCGGTGAAAAGCGTGACTCGTTCCTGTGCTGTGCGTGCGTTATTGATATCCGGGATCCCGGGCCGCGGGACTTGGCCGGGACTGGGCGTAGAACTCGTCCCTGGACTGGGACAGCGTTGCGGGAGAGCCTCGCAGCAGGCGGTTTGTTTTGGTTGGTGACTCACATAGCTCAGATTCAGTTCCCGAGCGGAGCAGTCGCGCGGTGGCGCTAGTGTGTGTCAAGTGCGGGCGCCGAGGTATGGCAGCCTCGTTCCTGGCTCCCGTGAAAACGGAGCAAGAGATCTTCGAAAATTCCATGCTCGAGGATGATCCCAATTGCAATTCATCAGTGTCGCGTTTCCCGGAGGAAGTGTTTCAACCCAGATGGGGGCCAACCCATCGAGGTGCTCAGGAATTAGCTAAGCTATACAGTACAGGCAAGTCTAACCTCAATTTTTCGTGCTGATAATGGTTTATTTTTGTTATCATGTTTTTTCCTCTCAAAGTGATCTTTTCGAGTTTGTTCTTCTCTCGGTCAGGATAAATTGCTTCGTCGATTTAATTTCTTTTCAACCTCGGTTCGGTTCACGAAAATTGTATCACGTAAGTTGGGTCGTGTTTTTTTAAATATAAATTTCCTCCTCAAATATTTTACCCCAGATTTAGTCAGAGACAAAAATAGCTATGTTGAACATAAATGTGATGAACTTGGTGGAGGAGCCAATTCTTTTCAATTCGAGGATCTTTTCTGTTCCATTATTTGATGTGCTTTTCCAGCATCATGTTCAGTGATTAATTCATTTTTATTTACTTAATTTTAATATTGCTGTCTAATATGTTAAATTTTGTCATTGAATATGTTGCATAGCTATTTATAAGTTCATAATAGGGAATCTTACTGAGTGGGAGGTTTATCTATAATTATCTGTCTTTATTTCCAAGTTTATGTGCACCTACCGAAGAGACTTTCAATTTACATTTATCTCTAGCAGGTACCTAGAATTGAAAGGAAGCATCTAGGTAGATATGTCTCTTTATTTTTTGTTCAGAGATTTTAATGCATACTTTTCACCCCAAAGTTGTTGGATCACGGAAGGTTCTTTCACCTGTGCCCATTAGGACAACACTAAGTAATCTAAGTTTTCCCAATTGTTGCTCTGTAATAGCTTACACCCATTGGAGGCTGTAATTAATGAGGTCATCATTTAGACCATTCCGGCTCCGAACCTGAATGGTTTACGCTTAGAACTGCCTTATATTTGCATCCGTCTGGAGAGAATAACAAGAACGAAAATATGTACCATCCTCACAGTCAAATGATTTTCTACGGCTAGAAACGTCATGTATACTGCCCATAAATTTGTCTTGCCGGCATGGAGTACATTTCCAAAATATAAGGTAATTCTAGTTTTGGACAGAACAATTTAAATACATGGGATAGAGAGTAAAATTGTTCGCTCCTAAAATAGACTCAATGGCTTAAATTGAAAATCAGTACATAGAAACTGTCGTACGACTTCCAGTAAATCCATTCTAAGCCTTGAATTAACAAATGCGATAAATTGTTTGATGAAATTGAAATAAAAATTAGCTCTGAGATTCAGGATGGGTTGATTTTAACAGTTCTCACTAATTATGTCTTCTCATAACTACATTCATTTGTGCCTCTTACATTTTTAAGAATGACTGATATAATTCTGACAAGGATGATGCTGATCACACTTTATGCCGATTGTGACAAAGTGTTTGCATCATTCCTCTGGTTAGGTTAGGTTCTATTCAGGGCTATGTTATAGCTGTGAAAGTAAGCCCATAGGTACTTCTAACTGCATTCATGATTTTTGTACCTTAAATGCTCTCCTGATTTTGTTTTTAATCCAGTCCAATTTTGGGTGAAAAAAGTTTTGTACTACTTATTCTTACTCATCAATTCAATTTTTCTGCAGTAAAATAAAATCTTTCTCTTTTACTATCAAATGTACCTTGAGAAGGTAGATTAAAATATTAATCTGCTTGTAAATTTAAGAATATTGATCCTGACGTATATATATCTTTAATGCCTCAATCTGTGATTAATTTAATTTTTCATAGTACCTACCTGGAATACATGGGGTACTGTGAAAAATTAAGTTAATCAAAGAATCAAGAAAAGTGTGACTACCACATAATTGAATAAAAAATAATATCAATAGACAGAAGAAATATAAATTTATTTCTAACGAGTAGCTCCATTAGTGCTGGGCAGGCTTTCTTTACGGCGAAGAGAGCCTGACGTCAATAAAAGGAAACACCCATTAAAGATTATATCTTCCAAGGTGCAATATTCAGCTGTTGGTACCTAATTATTTAACCTTGTAAATATAAAATGCTACACTTCGGTACCCGAATAATATAAAATAGTCCCCTACATTGTGTTGCTTCCTGAGAAATCTAAAATAATTTCACACTTATATGTTGACTGATAATCTGTCCAATTGATATTTCACTCCCATCATCAATTTTCAGTATGTAGTGCAAAACATTTTGAGAAAGAGCTGTACTCATGTTACCCATAAAATAAAAATGTTTAAAAAAAAAATAATAAAAAATAAATAAATGAATAAATAAATTGATCATCATGAACTAATGGAGGGATTACATAGGTACTTTAATAATATCCTCCCTCGATGTCCCAAGTAGAAACCACCAAATGAAGGGACCGAAGAAGGCAACATCATTGTACTCAGAATATTTGGTATGGCGGTTCAATCAATGAAAAATAGCCTTAGCCCAGTCTGAAAATCAGGCAAATAGGAGCACATCAATGAAACGAACACTCTGTTCAGTGTTCAACTTCAATGAACAACCGTTTATGCAACTGCAGACTGTGTAAAATGAGCCCGAGACCAGGAAAGGGGCTCCGAGATTTGAATGCAAAATACTTCTATATTTCTCTTTCCTGATCACTTATATGATCCAGAAGGATGAAAAAAGTATGCAGTTGCTAGGGACTTACTAATCTGGACTTGACCTTCCCTCTCACGGGAGATCATTTTGAA